CCTCTCTTCTACACACCCTAACCTGAGCCTCACTATCCTCACTATCCTCAGCATTTAATAACTTACCACCTATTCCATATACTTGCAACATCTGCCACATTGCTCCCCTATCTACTCTATCATATGCCTTTTCCAAATCCATAAATGCAATAAAAACTTCCCTACCTTTATCTAAATACTGTTCACATATATGCTTCAATGTAAACACTTGATCTACACATCCCCTACACACACTAAAACCTCCTTGCTCATCCGCAATCCTACATTCTGTCTTACCTCTACCATACACTTTTCCTGGTATACTCAGTAAACTTATTCCTCTATAATTTTTACAATCTCTTTGGTCCCCTTCCTTTATATAAAGGGACTATACATGCTCTCCGCCAATCCCTAGGTACCTTCCCCTCTTTCATACATTTATTAAACAAAAGTACCAACCACTACCAACACTATATCCCCCCCCTGCTTTTAACATTTCTGTCATGATCCCATCAGTTCCAGCTGCTTTAACCCCCTTTCATTCTACGTAATGCCTCACGTACTCCCCCACACTTACATTCTGCTCTTCTTCACTCCTAAAAGACGGTATACCTCCCTGGCCAGTGCATGAAATTACCCTCCCTTTCTTCCTCAACATTTAAAAGTTCCTTAAAATATTCTCGCCATCTACCTAATACCTCCCTCTCCCCATCTACTAACTCCCATACTCTGTTTTAACTGACAAATCCATACGTTCCCTAGGCTTTCTACTTGTTTAACTCACTCCAAATTTTTTCTTATTTACATTTTATTTTATAATATTTTATAATATGTATGTATATATATATATATAAATATATATATATATATATATATATATATATATATATATATATATATATAAATATATATATATATATATATATATAATATATATAACTAGATCACAGTAAACAGGTGATATCACAATATGCTGAACAACTAATGTGAAAAAATAGTGAACTTACAAGCGCATTCGTGATTTCTCACATTTTCTCAGTGATTATTTGCATATATGTGCCGTGCCGAATAGGTAAAATTTTCAGTTTTGGATTAAATAGAAACGCTCTTCTTGCCGAATAACGTAAGCGAAAATTTGCTTATGCAATAATTTCATAAAAATCATTCTGAACCTAACGAAAAAAATATTTTCAATATTTATTATTAAATTATTGTAAACTTATCTAAAATATATTTAGTTGGATTAGCCAAAATTAAATTGAGCTTGTTATAAAAATGTTAGGTAAGCTCCTAAGGTTCTTTTGGTACTAAATTATTGATTTTTTACATTAACATGAATGAAAAAATATACATCTTTAAACGTATAAGAGAATATGAGAATATTTTAGAAAAGACTTATTATAATATATATATATTATATATATATATATATATATATATATATATATATATGTTGCACTTGAATTTTATTAAGAAACATATTTATTTCTCTGAATTATGCTTTCCTAGTTATTTCTTAGTCAAAGTTCGAGTTATGAATATGTGTAACATTGAAAGAAAATCATATTTCTAGCTAATCTATGTATTTTTGTCTCATTACATATTTCATCAGGTCAAAAGTTTGCAATGATGGAGTTAAAAATCATAGTGAGCAGCATCTTCAGAAGATTCAGGGTGGAGAGCATCATACCCAGAGACCAACTGCAGCTTGTCGCTGAAGGTATTCTTAGACCTAAACATGGCAACCTGGTCAAGATCTTTCCCAGGACAAAGTAAGAAGAGGAGAGCATCAAGAAACACCAGATTAAATTATTCAAGACAGGAATAACAGTAGTAATATTCTGGCTTTAAAAATGCATTACTATACTGCTGACTGCAGATCTTTGATGACGTTTTGGTCTATTTGTTAAGGACGATGTTAGCTAGCAACTAAAAGTTTGAATGAGGAAATACATCTAAGTTTTATATTTAACAACACAAAACTTGATATTGCTTAAAATGTTCTTCATCTACAAGGTGAAGAACATCTTAACATTGGTAATGTGCCCTGCACTGGAGATACAAAGCCACGTTAACATCTTAGCCTTGATAATGTGGCTGACACTGGAGATACAAAGCCACGTTAACATCTTAACCTTGGTAATGTGGCTGACACTGGAGATACAAAGCCACGTTAACATCTTAACCTTGGTAATGTGGCTGACACTGGAGATACAAAGCCACGTTAACATCTTAGCCTTGATAATGTGGCTGACACTGGAGATACAAACCAACGTTAACATCTTAGCCTTGATAATGTGGCTGACACTGGAGATACAAAGCCACGTTAACATCTTAGCCTTGATAATGTGGCTGACACTGGAGATACAAACAAGTTAAACATCTAGCCTTGGAAAATTGTGGCTGGCACTGGAGATACAAAGCCACGTTAACATCTTAGCCTTGATAATGTGGCTGACACTGGAGATACAAACCAACGTTAACATCTTAGCCTGATAAGTGGTGACAATGGAGATACCAAAGCCCACGTTAACATCTTAGCCTTGATAATGTGGCTGACACTGGAGATACAAACCAACGTTAACATCTTAACATTGGTAATGTGCCCTGCACTGGAGATAAAGCCATGTTAACATTTTAACCTTGGTAATGTGGCTGACACTGGAGATAACAAAGCACGTTAACATTTTACCTTGGTAATGTGGCTGACACCTGGAGATACAACCGTTTAAATTTTAACCTTGATATGTGGCTGCCACTGCAGAGAACAAAGCCACCGTATAACATCTTAACTTGTTTAATGTGGATGTCACTCGAGGAGACAAGCCACGTTAACATTTAACCATGATTAATGTGGCTGTTATTGGAGATACAAAGCCACCGTTAACATTTTAACCCTTCGATTATATGTGGCTTCCCATTGGAGATACAAAGCCACGTTAACATTTAACTTGGTATTGTGGCTGACACTGGAGATTACAAAGCCACGTTTAAATCTTAACCTTGGTAATGTGGCTGCCCACTAGAGATACAAGGCACGTTAACTTCTAACTGGTAATGTGGCTGACACTGGAGAAGCAAAGCCACGTTAACATCTTAACCTTGGTAATGTTGCTGCCACTGGAGATACAAAGGCACGTTAACATCTTAACCTTGGTAATGTGGCTGACACTGGAGAAGAAAGCCACGTTAACATCTTAACTTGTATGTTTGCTGCCACTGGAGATAAAAGGCACGTTAACATCTTAACCCCTTGATAATGTGGTGACACTGGAGATACAAAGCCACGTTAACATCTTAACCTTGATAATGTGGCTGACACTGGAGATACAAAGCCACGTTAACATCTTAACCTTGATAATGTGGCTGACACTGGAGATACAAAGCCACGTTAACATCTTAACCTTGATAAGTTGGCTGACACTGGAGATACCAATGCCACGTTAACATCCTTAACCTTGATATATGGGCTGACACTGGAGATACAAAGCCACGGAACATCTTAACTTGATAATGTGGATTGACACTGGAGATATTTAAAGCACGTTAACATCTTACCTTGGTTATGTGGCTGACACTGGAGGATACAAAGCCAGTTAACTCTAACCTTGGTTTAATGTGGCTGACACTGGAGATACAAAGCCACGTTAACATCTTAACCTTGGTAATGTGGCTGACACTGGAGATACAAAGCCACGTTAACATCTTAACCTTGGTAATGTGGCTGACCACTGGAGATACCAAGCCACGTTAACTTCTTACTTGATATGTGGCTGACACTGGGAACAAAGCCACGTTAACATCTTAACCTTGGTATTGTGGCTGCCACTAGGAGATACAAAGCCCGTTAACATCTTAACCTTGGTAATGTGGGTGACACTGGGATACAAAGGACGTTTAACATCTTAACCTTGGCTAAATAATGGTGGCTGACACTAGAGATACAAAGCTCACGTTAAAATCTTTAACTTGGTATTGTGGCTGACACTGGAGATACAAAGCCACGTTAACATCTTAAACCTTGGTAATGTGGCTGAACCCCTGGAGATACAAAGCCAGTAACATTTAACCTTGGTAATGTGGCTGACACTGGAGATACAAGGCCACGTTAAAATCATAATTGGTAATGTGGCCTGACACTGGAGATACAAAGGTACGTTAACATTCTTAACCTTGGAATGTGGTGACACTGGAGATAACAAAGCCACGTTAACATCTTTAACCTTGTAATGTGGCTGGACCACTGGAGTTACAAGGCCACGTTAACATCTTAACCTTGGTATGTGGATGACACTGGAGTATACAAAAGCACGTTAACATCTTAACCTTGGTATTGTGCTGACACTGAGATACAAAGCCACGTTATCATCTTAACCTGGTTAATGTGGCTGACACTGGAGATACAAAGCCACGTTAACATCTTAACCTTGGTTAATGTGGTGACACTGGAGATACAAAGCCACGATAACATCTTAACCTTGGTAATGTGGGCCTGCCAATGAGAGATACCAAAGCCTCGTTAACATCTTAACCATGTTAATGTGGCTGGACACTGGAGATACAAGCACGTTAACATCTTAACACTAGGTAAGGGGCTGACACGGAGATACAAAGTACGTGAACATCTTACCTTGGTAATGTGGCTGACACTGGATTCAAGCCACGTTATAATCTTAACCTTGATAATGTGGTGACACTGGAGATACAAAGCCACTGTTAACAACTTAACCTTGGTAATGTGAGATGACACTGGTGATAACAAAGCCACGTTTACATCTTAACCTGGTAATGTGGCTGACACGGGAGATACAAAGCCACGTTAACATATTAACTGGTAAGGTGGCTGCCAGTGGAGATACAAAGCCACGTTAAAATCCTAACCTTTGGTATGTGGCTGACACTGGAGATACAAAGCCACGTTAACATCTTAACCTTGGTAATGTTGCTGACACTGGAGATACAAAGCCACGTTAACATCTTAACCTTGGTAATGTGGCTGACACTGGAGATACAAAGCCACGTTAACATCTTAACTTTGGGTAATGTGGCTGATCTGGAGTTACAATGCACGTTAAATTTAACCTTGGTAATGTGGCTGACACTGGAGATACAAAGGCCGTTAACATATTAACCTTGGCTAATGTGGCTGACCACTGGAGAAGCAAAAGCCACGTTAACATCTTAACCTTGGTATGTTGCTGCCACTGGAGATAAAAAGGCCACGTTAACATCTTAACCCTGATAATGTGGCTGACACTGGAGATACAAAGCCACGTTAACATCTTAACCTTGATAATGTGGCTGACACTGGAGATACAAAGCCACGTTAACATCTTAACCTTGATAATGTGGCTGACACTGGAGATACAAAGCCACGTTAACATCTTAACCTTGATAATGTGGCTGACACTGGAGATACAAAGCCACGTTAACATCTTAACCTTGATAATGTGGCTGACACTGGAGATACAAAGCCACGTTAACATCTTAACCTTGATAATGTGGCTGACACTGGAGATACAAAGCCACGTTAACATCTTAACCTTGGTAATGGGGCTGACACTGGAGATACAAAGCCACGTTAACATCTTAACCTTGATAATGTGGCTGACTCTTGGAGATACAAAAGCCACGTTAACACTTAACCTGATAATGTGGCTGACAATGGAAGATATAACGCCACGTTAACATCTTAACCTTGGTAATGTGGCTGACACTGGAGATACAAGCCACGTTACATCTAACCTTGGTAATGTGGCTGACATGGAGATTACAAAGCCCACGTTAACTCTTAACCTTGGTAATGTGGCTGGACACTGGAGATACAAAGCACGTTAACACTTAAACCTTGGTAATGTGGCTAATACTGGAGATTAACAAAGCCAACGTAACATCTTAACCTTGATAATTGTGGCTGACACTGGAGATACAAAGCCTCGTTAACATCTTAACCTTGGTAATGTGGCTGACACTGGAGTATACAAAGGTACGTTAATTCCTAACCTTGGTATGTGGCTGACCAATGGAGATACAAAGCCACGATAACATATTAACTTGGTAATGTGGCTGACACTGGAGATACAAAGCCACGTTAACTCTTAACCCTTGGTAATGTGGCTGACACTGGAGATACAAAGCCACGTTAACATCTTAACCTTGGTAATGTGGCTGACACTGGAGATACAAAGCCACGTTAACATCTTAACCTTGGTAATGTGGCTGACACTGGAGATACAAAGCCACGTTAACATCTTAACCTTGGTAATGTGGCTGCCACTGGAGATACAAAGCCACGTTAACATCTTAACCTTGGTAATGTGGCTGCCACTGGAGATACAAAGCCACGTTAACATCTTAACCTTGGTAATGTGGCTGCCACTGGAGATACAAAGCCACGTTAACATCTTAACCTTGGTAATGTGGCTGCCACTGGAGATACAAAGCCACGTTAACATCTTAACCTTGGTAATGTGGCTGACACTGGAGATACAAAGCCACGTTAACATCTTAACCTTGGTAATGTGGCTGACACTGGAGATACAAAGCCACGTTAACATCTTAACCTTGGTAATGTGGCTGCCACTGGAGATACAAAGCCACGTTAACATCTTAACCTTGGTAATGTGGCTGCCACTGGAGATACAAAGCCACGTTAACATCTTAACCTTGGTAATGTGGCTGACACTGGAGATACAAAGCCACGTTAACATCTTAACCTTGGTAATGTGGCTGACACTGGAGATACAAAGCCACGTTAACATCTTAAACCTTGGTTAATGTGGCTGCACTGGAGATACAAAGCCACGTTAACATCTTAAACCTTGGTATTGTGGCTGCTACTGGAGATACAAAGCCACGTTAACATCTTAACCTTGGTAATGTGGCTGACACTGGAGATACAAAGCCACGTTAACATCTTAACCTTGGTAATGTGGCTGCCACTGGAGATACAAAGCCACGTTAAGCAGAACAATTCATACTCAGTAATTTGCTTAAATATGAGAGTGTTCAATTCACCTTTTGGTAAAACTTTGTCTTTTAAACAAGTGTTGTCTTTGACTCTGCAATATTCTGTTGGTGGTAATATTTCTTCAACAATTTCAAAAGTCGAAGCGCCAATATATCACTATTAATTCCATTATGTTAAGACTTTCTCTTCTCACACTACTGGTTTATGGGTATTTAAAATACCTACTAGTACTACTACTAATAACATTAATTATAGTTTTAATAATGATACATCTACTAGCATTTCTGCTATTACTCCCGCTACAGCTAATACAACTAGTAATACTACTAGCAATGCCACTACTGTCGATAAATATATATGGAAAAAATCATAGTTCTTTACCTAATTTAAATATTTGTTTGGTTAGTTGGTTAATTATTCGTAGGAGCTAATATATCACTCATCCTAATTCTATTATGTTATGATGTTATCTTCTCAAACTATATTATCCCTCCATACTTATTCCACAATTGTTTAAACCCATTTACTATGTAGCACAGACTAACCCATACTGGTTTGTCGCATTTTCAAATACCACTAATACGTCTACTACGTCTAGTACTACTACTACTAATAATAATTATTAGAAAAACAATCAAAATTCTTCTCGTCATTTAAATATTTGTTTGGCTAGTTGGTTAATTAAATATACACAAGTCAACTACTCGTAGTTCATTAAAGATGACTGTAACCTGTTCACCATCAGTTAACCCCATTAAAGATGACTGTAACCTGTTCACCATCAGTTAACCCCATTAAAGATGACTGTAACCTGTTCACCATCAGTTAACCTCATTAAAGATGACTGTAACCTGTTCACCATCAGTCAACCCCATTAAAGATGACTGTAACCTGTTCACCATCAGTTAACCTCATTAAAGATGACTGTAACCTGTTCACCATCAGTCAACCCCATTAAAGATGACTGTAACCTGTTCACCATCAGTTAACCCATTAAAGATGACTGTAACCTGTTCACATCAGTAACCCCATTAAAGATGACTGTAACCTGTTCACCATCAGTTAACCCCATTAAAGATGACTAACCTGTTCACCATCAGTTAACCCCATTAAATATGACTGTAACCTGTTCACCATCAGTAACCCCATTAAAGATGACTGTAACCTGTTCACCATCAGTTAACCCAAAAGATAGTAACAGTTACCCTAGTGTATAAACGTAAAGGGTAGACCTTCACCTCTTTGTGCATGTACCCGTGATTATGTAAGGATGTATGGTTCGATAATTATGTATCAGTGTGTGATGATTAATATGATGTGGATGATTATATATGGTTGGATGATTAAGTATGGTTGGATGATTATATATGGTTGGATGATTATGTATGGTTGGATGATTATGTATGGTTGGATGATTATGTATGGTTGGATGATTATGTATGGTTGGATGATTATGTATGGTTGGATGATTATGATGGTTGGATATTATGTATGTTGGATGATTAAGTATGGTTGGATGATTATGTATGGTTGGAATGATTATGTATGGTTGGATGATTATGGATGTTGGATGATTAAGTATGGTTGGATATTATATATGGTTTGATATTATGTATGGTTGGATGATTATGATGGTTGGATGATTATGTATGGTTGGATGATTATGTATGGTTGGATGATTATGTACGGTTGGATGATTATGTATGGTTGATGATTATGTATGGTTGGATATTATGTATGGTTGGATGATTATGTACGGTTGGATGATTATGTACGGTTGGATGATTAGTACGGTTGGATGATTATGTATGGTTGGATGATTATGTTATGTTGGATGATTATATATGGTTGGATGATTATTTATGGTTGGATGATTATGTATGGTTGGATGATTAATGTATGTTGGATGATTATGTATGGTTGGAATGATTTGATATGTTGGATGATTATGTAGTTGGATGATTATGTATGGTTGGATGATTATGTATGGTTGGACTGATTATGTATGGTTGGTTGATTTATGTATGGTTGGATGATTATATATGGTTGGATGAAATTTTTTAGTTGGATGATTATTTATGGTTGGATGATTATGTATGGTTGGATGATTATGTATGGTTGGATGATTATGTATGGTTGGATGATTATGTATGGTTGGGTGATTATGTATGGTTGGATGATTATGTATGGTTGGATGATTATATATGGTTGGATGATTATATATAGTTGGATGATTATTTATGGTTGGATGATTATTTATGGTTGGATGATTATTTATGGTTGGATGATTAACGGGCTTAAGTTAAATCGATTTCACGAAGGTCATCAATGTTTGATGTCAAGTGTTCACCACCTGGCAAGTACACTTTAATCTCTCAATACCTTAGTCCGTAAAATAGGGAGATACATTTGGTTGGTTAATTTGCCTACGAACTATCAACACACGAAGATCATTAAGGCGGCGTGTCAGCTCTTCAACAACGATCCGCTGTATAGTCCTTGTGGCTTAGCGCTTCTTTTTGATTATAATAATAATTCAACAACAATCAAAAATACTTGAGCACCAAATATGATCTATTGTAATTAAAATAAACCCGAAATGTACGTATACTGAGAAATATACTTTTACACGTGTACACAAATTTAAAGAGTTCTAATCATCTCCATAGTTTTGATGATTAAACTGATGAATGTATAAGAAAAACAAGTGATAAAAAAAAAGTGTATTATTAAGTTGCAGTTTTTTTTTTGGAGGGGGGGAGGAGGGGTTTATAATGTATATTTGTAAGTTAGCATTAATTATTTACTGGATATCTCCCGAGTTTAGATGCATCAAGTAACATTACCTAATATTTCTGACTGTTCATAAGACATATTACCTTGAATATTTTCCTCAGGTAATTTTGATGCCTAACTAATAATCACATATTAATCCAATAAAGTCTGTATGTTGTATTTCTTGTATATTGTTCCCCTCTTTGTTGTCTTATAAAAGTTAACAAGAAGTTATCACAGTGTTAATTTAATATTACTGAAAACTAGGTGAGTTACTGTGTGAAAATTCTAGAAGTTTGTAAAATTAACTTGTTAGTTTGTGTTACATATAGTGTTTATCATAGACAAGATTGTTCCTAGGAATGATCTTTAACAAAATAAGTTCCAGCAATACATTAAAATATTTCAGGTATTTATCTATAATGCAAAAAAAATATTTCAGTAACTTAACCAGCTTCAAAAGTTGCATAGTCTTAAGAACATTGGGAAAGGTTTTATTAATTACTGTTGTGGAGATCATCGCGTTCGCGACCCAGTAACAGCACAAGCTTTCTGAGTGATAATCTGTTCAGTCAGACTGTAGCCGCTGGCGCAGTTGCTAGTTATATGACAAATGACAATCTACACAAGTGGTACATGAGACAATTAAGAGAGAGGTATAAGAAAATAATATGAACTGGTCTTCAAGAAAACCACAACAAAACCCACCTTCATGTAGGTGGTGATACTCAAAGAAAATTAAGAGTGGTAGAGGCTAAGGAAAAATAAAACAAGGAACCAGACAGCTTGCAAAGAATGTGGTCAAGAAGCGGGAAGTAAAAAGAGCAAATCGTATTTCCTTATACCTAAATAAATGCTGACCTCAAAATAAATTGAGCAGGGGGATGTATTGTCAAGGTTCATTAGTGTGGACCAAAAATAAGCAGTTTTATTGTGGCATCAGGTTGAGATAAAAAGTTTGTAGAAGATGGCCTGTGAAAGTTTGGGCCCGAAAAATGGCGATGATTTGAAACTTAAGGGGAAAAAGCACAGCTGAGAAAAATTGGTAATAATCGCTTTTGTTCTTCAGATTTCCTCCGTTACCACTAACATATATCTGTGAAGTTTAGATTCAGAATATTGTAAAGGTGAAAGAAAAAGAGTGAGGATACTAAACAGAATAATCTCCAAAATCAAGCTTGGGAAGTAACGGCCGAGAGGTCATAAAGGACAAAAACCACGTTCAAGGGTTTAGTGAGAAATTATGTATTTGACCTGCACTGAACGTGACCATCAGTGGCGAGCAATATTCCAGATGAGGGAGCACTAGCAATATGACGAGTGTAACCATTGGTATTATTTCCTATGTTTTGAAAGCTCACAATACTCACCCTATCATCCTCCTGGGAGAATCTTGCACACGTAATCTTAAATTAACCTTCTACCTACATAACGGAGGAGAACTCTTGATACATTTAAAACAGATTGTACTTATTGATACTGATGTATCATGGAGACATGTGGGATTTTCAGGAAAAATGGAGTCGCAAACAATGTCCCACCTTCCACGACAACAGTCTCAGGTCCCTATTTCACTTCCAGACCTTACATAAAGATCATATGGTTCCTGAAAATTTATGATTATATATATATATATATATATATATATATATATATATATATATATATATATATATTATATATATATATATATATATATATATATATATATATATATATATATCGTGCCGAATAGGCAGAACTTGCGATCTTGGCTTAAATAGCAACGCTCATCTTGCCATATAGGACAAGTGAAAATTTGTGTATGCAATAATTTCGCCAAAATCATCCTGAACCTAACGAAAAAAATACATTTCACTGTGTTTGTTTAGTATTAAATTATTGTAAACAAATCTAAAATATATTTAATTGGGTTAGGCTAAAATAAATTGCTCTTGTTATAATAAGGTTAGGTAAGTTTTCTAAGATTCTTTTGGTGCAAAATTAAAATTTTTTACATTAACATTAATGAAAAAA